AGAGGGTGATACTCGACTTGGTGATCGACTTGGTGATCGACTTGGTGATCGACTTGGTGCTCGACTTGGTGATCGACTTGGTGATCGACTTGGTGATCGAGTTGGTGATCGACTTGGTGCTCGACTTGGTGATCGAGTTGGTGATCGACTTGGTGCTCGAGTTGGTGATCGACTTGGTGCTCGACTTGGTCGTGGTCGAGTGCATTTGGAAGGTCATGATGATGGTGCTCGACCACGATGATGGGTTCTGGTCCACTTCTTCCAATTTGCTCACCAACAGCTCCAAATCACCTGAAAACAACTCAAATATGCAACATGCATGCAAAACTATCCTAATCATGCAAAGTGATGACAAATGATGAAGAATGGTGTGAAACAATGACGAAATGATGATAAAGTGATGCTAAATGGATGCTCAAAACAGGTAAAATATAGACATATCACAAACGTTGGACCTCCTTGATGTTTTTTGGTGAAGGCATTGTGAGGAAAGCGTTAATCTGATTAGGATTAGCTTTTATCCCTCTTTCCGTGACTATATAGCCTAGGAATTCTCCGGAAGGCACACCAAAAGAACATTTAGCAGGATTTAATTTCATTCCGAAATCATTCAGAATTTTGAAACACTGCTCAAGATGAGTGATGTGCTCAGATTTCTTAAGAGATTTCACGAGCATATCATCAATATAAACTTCCATTGTTTTGCCCAAATGTTCTGAAAACATTTTGTTAGCCAATCGTTGGTATGTTGCACCGGCATTTTTTAGACCAAATGGCATAACTTTGTAACAGAAGATTCTGTTATGAAGGAAGTTTTTTCTTCGTCTTCAGGATTCATCATGATCTGATTATATCCAGAAAATGCATTCATGAATGTTAAGAGTTCGTTTCCGGCTGTTGACTCAACGAGCCGATCGATATGTGGGAGAGGAAAGCTATCTTTTGGGCAAGCTTTGTTAATGTCGGTGAAATCGACACATACTCTCCACTTTCCGTTTTTCTTTTTGACTACCACGGGGTTTGCTAACCAGTCCGGGTATTTCACTTCTCTGATAGAACCAATTTTCAAAAGCTTATCAACTTCGTCATTGACCGCTTGAGCTCGGTCTGGACCAAGTTTTCTTCTTTTTTGCTTTATTGGTTTAAAATTGGGATCGACGTTTAAATCATGGGTAATGATACTTTTGTCGATTCCAGGCATATCTTTCGCCGACCAGGCAAAAGTATGTTTATTTTCTTTCAGAAATGTTACCAACTGATCTTTGATTTCTGAATCTAAAGTAGTACCGATTTTTACTTTTCGGTCTGGAAATTCGGAATCAATTCCAACTTCAGTAGTAACTTCATTCGAACTGAGACCACTTGGGTAACGCGAAGTGCTTTCTTGCTTAGCGTTTATCATTAATTGCTATTTAAGCTTTAAACGATGTCCCATGAGGTAGCAAGATCGCGATGTTTCCTGATCTCCTCGAATGATTCCGATTCCGCCAGGAGTCGGAAATTTCACACATTGATGATAAGTTGAAGGTATAGCCTTCATTTGGTATATCCACGGAGTTCCGAGAATTATATTGTAAGCGGCCGGACGGTCGAAAACAATGAATTCTACGATCTTTGGAACCCCTGCGGCGAGCAATGGTAGTTTTATGTTTCCCAAGGACATAGATGTGTCACTCGTGAAAGCTACTAATGGTGCTGGTGGACCGATAATGTCAGCTTTACTGATTCCCATTCTTTGAAAAGTGCTTAGAAATATGAGATATACCGAGCTTCCAGTATCAATTAGACACCTTGTCACTTCGAAGTTCGTAACATCTAAGGTTATCACAAGAGCATCATCATGAGGTCCTGCTAGTCCTTGAGCGTCCGAATCGTCAAAGGAGATAAAAGGTACTTGTTCTTTTGACTGAAAGCCAACAGCGATCTGAGTTACCGCTGATTTCTTGTGCCTTTTGATCGATCTGATCGAATCTCGGCATAATTTGGATCCTCCCATTATAACATTGATCCTTTTCTTAGGAGTGTTCGAAGTTACGGACCCATTGGGCTTGTGTTTCTTCTCAGGAGGATTAGAAGCTTCAGAATCTTCTTTTTTTTTTGTGATAAGATTCCACAAATTCCTCGATATTGAAATTAGCGAGCTCTCCAGCTGCCCACAGTTCGGTGAGGTGCTATTTGAGTACGCTGCAATCTTTTGTAGAATGCCCGTTTACTTTGTGAATGTCGCAATAGGCACTTTCGTCTCTAACCCAAGTATTAGGAGGATTGTACCTTCCCCTGCTTGGGGAGGGTTTCCCTACAGCATTAGTAGCGGGATTAACTCCGAATCGTTTTTGATATTTTGGTTCGAATTTTTTAGTTGGATTCGCAACGGCTAATTTAGCTGGCCGATGCTTTTTAGCGAGGCTAAGCTTTTCTTCTTCTGCCTCCATCCAATGAGTAGCTCTGAATAAAGCATCTTGGATGGTACTTGGACGATTGACGATGATTTCTTCTCGAAATCGGGATTCATGCCAAAGTCCGTTTCGTAAAGCAGAAAGGGCAGTAGTGTGCGATACCCCAGGAATTTTGGCTATCACTTCTTTGAATTTAGCGATATATTTGCGAAGTGGTTCATTCTGACCTTGGGTTAAATTCTAAAGATCCGCATCAGAAGTTGCCTTTTCCATGAACATGGAATATTGTTTTAGGAATGCAGAGGACAATTCCTTAAAACTATCAATAGTTTCTGGTTCTAACTGAGTGAACCATAACAGAGCCGGTCCGGAAAGATTCTCGGAAAATAGTTTGCAAAATCCGGCATCTTCCTCGCCTGGTTCTAGATCAATTCTGCCTGCAGCGATCTGAAAAGCAGCGAGGTAATTTTTAGGATCTCCTTTACCATCATAAGTTGGTAACTTAACCTTTCGAGAATCTTTGATCTGAAGGTTCGAGATTCTCGAGGTAAAGGGTGTTCGACGAGTTTCTTCGATTACTCGATCGATCTCAGGCGCCGAACTGGTCGCTTGATGAAATTTCGATTTCATTTCATTAAGCTCTTGACGAACTTTGATGAAATCATCGGATAGGGTGACATCAGGATCTTCCATAAGGAATCCGTCGTCAGTGGGAAGATCTCTCTGATCCTGGGGAATTCCTTCCCCAGTTAGGTTAGCCGCTTCCCCTATGGCTGCCTGATTGCTAGTATTAGCTGGCTGGCCTGCAGGGGGGGGGGGGGGGGTTTGAGTAATCCCGGGAGTCGCGAATAACCTGCGCTGACGCCCTGTTATTCGTGCTGAGGACAAATTATCTAAACGGCTCGAAACAGCGTTCTGCGCGTTTGATAAATTTGTCTGGGTGGTTGAACACTTGTTAAGGTTTGCTCGATTGAGTTCAACCTTTCACTAAAAGTGGTATTGGTACCAACAAGTGTACCTAACTGATTGGTCAGATCGATGGTTTTCTGAGTAAGCAAGGCAATCGCATCGCTCAAAGGTTGTTGATCAGCCATAGCTTCTTGGTTGAGAAAGAAGAAATTTGAGATTAAAGAGTTTTGTGGTAACTCCCCACAGACGGCGCCAAAATGTGGATGTAGGATTCACACTCGATTGTCTTTAAGTATTTTTGTGGAGAAAAACTCTTCGAAAATCGTAAGATGAATATGAGAATTCGTAAAGGAAATCAACCAAGAAAAGAAGTAAAGAAACTGACAAGAACGAAGTATAAAAATGCCTTGCAAAAGTAATAAAGAGAGGAAAAATATGTTGTATTGCTTAGAAGTAATCAGTAATGAAAATCCGTCCCCCCAAACACATGCGTTTGAGGTTTTTTTTATAGAGAAAACATGATCAATGCGGTCATTTACTGCTCATAATCGCATTGATCCGCATTAATCATGTAGGTTACAATTTGACCGAAACGGCATGAATTTGAACTATCTTGGGCTTTGCGTGGATCTTCCGAACTCTTTCTTGTTGACTCCGAACTCCTGCGTCTTGACGCTGCCGCGAACCTCGAACAATATTCTCCTCGCTTCGGCCTTCCTTTATGCGAACTGTATGTTGAATAAGAGCGAACTCCGTACTGGTAAAGATCGAGCTCTTTAATAAACTGAATCGAACTTCCGACAGGTCGAGCTCGATTCTCTCAATGAAACATCTAGAAATCCAAGAGGATTATTATGTAATAATGACGTGGACAGATCAAAGTGGATCCTACCGAAGATGTGTGGGATCCGACCCCAACAACTGGAATGAGTTGGAGTTAGCATTAAATAGTTGTAGGAGTTGGAGTTTAGAAAAGAGGAAGATGTTTGGTCTGTTGTTCGTGGTGCATGTAGGTATATTGGGGATATATAGGTCAAGTAGGATACCTTTGGACTATGCTAAGAGGGTGCTTGACGCAGAGGCATTTGAGAGATTTCCATGGGGGCGACTTGGATTTAAGGAGCTTATTGAGTCAATAAAAGTTTTGAAGTATGATAGAACTTCATATGCTATCCATGGCTGTCCGCATGTCCTGAATATATGGGCATTTGAGAGTATTCCACATCATGGGAAATCATATGGGAACAAAGTACCGGATGATGGTGATGGCAATGAAGATGAAGATGAACCAGAACCAGTGCCTCTCTTGCAATAGAATGGTGGTCGTCCAAGAATCTGTTTAGATAATTTCTTTGCTATAGAGAAACTGAGAAAGAGGAAAGTATGTTTGTTCTCCTTAACTTTCATTACCCATATGTAGTTATAACACTAAAATAGTTTATTTATGTCCTCCTCATGTAGATCAAGGTGCAACATTTAGTGGTGAGGCCTATAGAAGAGATTTATCTTGTTTGGCCTGGAGAGAATGATGTGTATGAGGAAGGTGTAGGTGATAATAAGCTGGTGGATAATTTTCTGCATGATATTATGAATGGTGGTTTAAAAGAAAGTGGTTTCAATGATGATCCCGAGATTGAGAAGAAGTCTAGAAAGAGGAAAAAGACAGTGGACAGTGAGGATGATTTTGTTGACCACCTAAGAAGAGAAAAGCAGAGACAGAGACACGTATAAAGAAGAAATCTAATAGTGGGAAACAATTAAGAGACTTGAGTGAGGATAGTGGGTAAGAGGTTCTGGAGGAACAAGGAATGGAGAGACTTTTTAAGATGATAGGAAGTTTGTCTGCAGAAATGAAAACATTGAACACTAATTTCGTGGCTGGGCTTGAGAAAGTAGACAACAAATGCGAAGGGCTAAAGAAGAGTGTGACAGATCTATAGGGTGATGTGGAGAAGCTGAGGAAGAAGGCAGAAGAGAAGAATGATGACATCGAAGAAGAGTCTGCAAATGGTTCAGAAGAAGGGACATGAACCAACGATGAGGTATGATGTGTACATCCTCTATTTAATTAGGAAGTATGCAGAAAACCGCAAGTTAGTTGCTGGGGAGTCACATTTTTCAAGCTTAGAAGCTTAATTTACTTCTGATTCCTGAATCCTGAACTCATTGTTTTTAAAAGTGAACTTGTAAAACATATTTGGGTGGTTAATGGAGACTTAAATATTTGCATGTGTAATGGTTATGTTTTTTTAATCAAACTATATATTTTTCAATTTTATTCAACTATGTTTATTTAGTCATGGTATAAGCAGGAGAAGCAGACTTCTCAAGACGGTTTTCCCATTTCTGTAGTCGTCAGGAAGGCAAAGGGAAAGGGAAAAAGGAAAGCAGGTTCAAAGAAAACAAGGACAACAGAATGTGTTGACCCAACGAAGACGTCCAAGAAGTTGGTTTTGGAGGAAGTTTCAGGGAGCAGGTCACCTTTGGTAAAGGATCCAAAATGTGGGTTAATGAGTGACTCTGTAATGCATAATCTGAATATGGAAACATCATCTCCTGCAAAACAATTCAAGCCCTTCTCGTAGGAGAAAATAGCTGATTGGGATAGAAGAGATACAGGATCTTTAGGGGGAGCAATGAGTAACTCTATGTTGCATCATCAGAAGAATTCCCCCCTAGGCAGATGCATAAAAAAGGAACCATCATCACCCAAAAAAAAGTTGACTACTTTATCTGAGAAGAAAAAACCAGAACCAGATTTGGATTCAGAGTGCTCTGATCCTGAAGAGAAAGAAAAAGATAAGAAGTTAACAGACGGATTAGACAAGATGGTAGAATTGTGTTCTAAAAAAGATTTTGTTCCCCGTCCATGTCGGCCTAGAAACCTTGCTTCTACCCAACTGGACCCATACATTGGGAGTTCAATATTTAAGCGGATTGTGCGTGGTAAAATCCTTTCTCCTGCAGCTTATGATCCTTTTGAACGGGTCACTCCTGAAAAGATGGATAAGTTAGAATGGGTTGGCTGATTTTATAGCCATAAACTAGTTGCATTCTCAGCTTTTCCCCCCAACCTTTTCGCTCCAGCTAATTCCACCATTAACTTAGATAATTCTCGCAATTTCAACATGTACTTTCGGATTCATCCTTAAAACTACGCCTCCAATTGAACCGGTCATTAAACCGGTACCACATAACCCGGTTTGATTTAATTCAAATTTAACCAAATTTAAACCCGATTTTGACCAAAATTTTATAAAATCAGCCAACCCAACAGATTGGTGGTCACGCGCTTGACGGTTGCGGAGAATTCATGCCGTCTCCTTCTTCAACACCTTCCGATCCAACTTCTCTCAAGTGTGCAGCTTGTGGTTGTCACCGTAACTTCCACCGCCGTGAACCTGACGATTCCTCCTCTGTTCCACCACCGTCTCTTCTTCCATCTTCATCCACAACCGCCGCAATTGAGTATCAACCTCATCACCGTCACCACCCTCCTCCTCCGCTAGCTCCTCCGCTTCCTCGTAGTCCTAGTTCATCTTCTCCGACAGTAGCTGAGGGAGACAGGAAGAGGACCTGTGAGTTTGTTGTTGGCCAAGGAGACGGACCTCAAGGACCCGCATTGCTCGAAGAACCCGTCTGGGATCCGACCCGAGAGACTATTGCCGCTGAAATCGACGACTTGGAGGCTGCCGGTTTAATGACCGGTTCAATTGGAGGCGTAGTTTTAAGGATGAATCCGAAAGTACATGTTGAAATTGCGAGAATTATCTAAGTTAATGGTGGAATTAGCTGGAGCGAAAAGGTTGGGGGAAAAAGCTGAGAATGCAACTAGTTTATGGCTATAAAATCAGCCAACCCAGTTAGAATCATTCATTGACCATGATCTGTAAGTTCCAATCTCATATATTTACCTTACTTTTAAACTCCTAAACCTTTACTACTTAAGCTTAGTTGTTTTCTTATATGTAGGGAGAACCCTATAGATTTCACGAATTCATCTGCCATGTTCTACCTGAAGATCAAGACTCCAAAAGAGCAATGGCCTGTTGGAGAACCTGAATACGGATGGCTAACAGATGTGGTAAGTGAATGTATTGTTTAAACAAGTGAGACATGTAAGTGTTTAAGACTATAATTATACCTTAATCAATGTGTTTCATTCTTGTTGATGTCACAGCAATTGGCTCCAATCATGCAAATGCTCTGGAAAAGGTCAATGCAAACTGTATCTCCATTTTTGACTGATAGGATTGCATTCCTTGATCCCTGGTTTGTGACTCAGTTTTTCAGTAGATTACATCAAGTTTGATGCCGGGTCCAATTGGATATTTTCTGATAAATATATTCAGGTGTATAATGGGGAATCTCCAAAGAATGGAAAGACATACAAGAAGTGGGTAAAGGATACAGATATTCTTTACCTTACTCACAACATTGGGAAAGATCATTGGGTAGCTTTTGAGGTTAATTTAGCCATGCGGAGGATCAAAGTGTATGATAGCATCTGCTCCTGCTACAGTGATGGGTAAATTTACGAAGCTTGCAAGCAATTCACTAGGGTGATACCTGCATTGATTCAAGTTATGTCACCTGTGGAAGAGAGAAAAAAACTTGGTGCTGCAGCCTTCTCTATTTACAGGATAAAAACAGCTCCACAAAACTATCAAACAAGAGATTGTGGCGTACTTTCTGCAGAGGTTTTTGATGAGGTCCCAGATTCCGGTTGTTTCATCCAAATGTCAGACCCTCGTGGTAATGATACCGTAGGTGCAGAGTTCATCTCCCAGAAGGACCCTTCTTAATCTACAGTTAACATGTTTTGTGTGTTGTGTGAAACTTTACAAGGGTGCATGTTTTGTTCTACGTTGATTCTAGTCTTTTGTCATGAAACCTATTGTCCCTCACCAGGGAAAACAAAGTAGTATTTATTTGTTAGAGATCTTTCATTCCTAATTGATTAACAAGGTTATTAAAGCTTATTAGGAGAGAACATTACAACATTCTTATCTGGTAGATTTAACTCACTACAGGAATATCGGGTTTTAATAGCACTATACAATAGCGTTTGTAGTCATTCTGCTATTGTTAGAGGACCTCTGAACTTTCAATAGCGTTTCTACCTTGTTGAAACGCTATGGATAGTGTTTCACAATTTTTAACAATGACGCGGAAGTATATTTAATAGCATTACCATATTAAAACGCTATTGAAAGGGTTGGGCGCTAAAAATTTCCCATTCCCGCTACTACACTTAGAAATATTTTTGGGCATTTCTTTTCTTTTTCCCCTTAGCTCATCTTTGTCGACTTTAGTCTTCAATTTTTAGGGTTTCCGCTTTCTCTCCTCTTTGCTATCTCCGACAGACACAAAACAGAAATTTCCGAAAAATTTCAACCTCTTTGCTCTCTCCGCATCTCCCATCTTCCTTGTATGCTCGATCTGTTTGGGAATCCCACTAAATCGAAGGTAAATCCCACTTAATCACAAATTTGTTCTTGATTTGTAGAGAGAGAGCTGCGAGATGACGATTTGGGTTTGGGTTTGGTCGATTTAGGGATTTGAGGATTTAGAATTTGGGGATTTAGGGATTTGAGGATTTAGGTAGAATCGCTTACACATTTGAGACTGTATCTACATGTTCTTTGAACTGCTTTGAGCTGCTTTGTGTATCTTTCACATCTTCCTTGTTAACTGAGTTATGTTTGAACGAGTCCTAACAATTTGAAACTAGATCTGGTCTGACATTTACTTCAATGTGCAGGTCGTAGTCGAACCAGTATCCAAACACATCACTTGTCCAGATTGAAGGAGTCAACACCCAAGAGAAGGTAAACAGAGCCAAATCAAAGACTAATAATGAAATCGATTTCTTTTAATTTTTGTTTGGATTTGTAGATTTATTGATTTGAGTTTAATTGATTTCTATTTTTGCTTTTTCTGTTGTAGTTCGAGTTAATCAGAAGAGAACAAACTCTATCAGGTATATGATTCTTCTATCAGATTACTTGTATTGTTGTTTTGGCTTTGAAAGTGACTGCCTCTGAAAATTACTTGTATGCACATTTGGTCGGAGCTCTTGTGAAATGGATAAAGCTTGGGTTTGGTTGCCAAGGTATTAAACCTGGTGCTTATTTATGGAGACCTACTATGAAAGGTTCATCATTTATGGGTGATGCACTAAATGAGATCATCACATGGCCTGCTGATAGGATACAAATACCTCTGTCTACACTTGATGAATCAACGAAAAAATCATCACCTCTGCAGGTCAGTAACACCAACTCTATATTTGTTTGTTTTGATTTGGCTGCTACTAGTAGTTAAGTTGGACAATAGTTTAAGTAGTCAGATTTTTAGATGAGATTGGGAATTATATTTGTTGCATGTTGATGTTGATGTTGATGTGATGGTATTCTGATGAATGTTTTTATAATTTGGACTACTAGAGTGGCACTAACAGTACTGGTGCAAGCAAAGGCTCCAAAAAGAATTGCTTTCTATTAGATTGTGATAATTCTGGGGAGCAAGTTGCAATAGGTCGTGTCTGTTCCACTGATCCAGAAGACAAGGTCCATCTCTGTCCTTTAGGTCCCAATGCTAGCAAGATCTGGGTAGAGGTTTCCAAGATTGATGGTGCACGAGTGTGGAGACCAAATTCTGAAATTCAAGTAATATCTGATGCAGTAGGAAACTGGGTGGCTTGGCCTAACAAGCATATTGTATTCATGTGAGCATAAGTTTGTGTCAAAAAACATTGTTCTATCTCATGGTGTAGTACTATTCTTTTGTATGATCTTTTAAAATGACAGGTTTAAATCCAGTTTTAATTTTAAGTTTGATTTAAAGTTTTTTTTGTCAAAGCAATAATTATAATATTATATATAATATTAAAATATTATGTAGTACTAATATTATATATAATTACAATATTATATATAATATTAAAAAACAACAAATATCAATTTTTCTAAATGCTTAACTTTTTAATAACACACAAAAAACGCTATTATATAATTTATAATAGCAGAAAATAAAACGCTATGTTATATAAACATATTATAGCATTACAGAAAAACGCTATATAAAGTCACTTACCTATTATAGCGGGAGTATATACAGCGCTTTCAAAAACGCTATTATATCTTTAAACAGCGTTTTTCGGACGCTATTAATGCCCGATATTCCTGTAGTGACTGATAGAGTATTTAAACGGAACAATAGATTAGAGTTGTGTCAATAAAGGTAAACAAAGAATAACAAGACTAATAATTCAGTTACTTGTTTAACAAGAGTTTAACACATATGAAGAAACCTAACTACGTAATTAAAAGCAAAGTAATGTTCGCAAATATCGAAACTTGTAGGATGGACTAACTTGCAAATCGGACCGAGTTGAATTAAATTAAAATGCTGGTTGAAAACCCCATCACCGGATGCTTTCAACACATCCTCTTTCATACAACGTATATAAATGGATAAAAATAAAATCTTTGTGAGTTTAATTACAGTGGGTGAGAATAGACGTGAACACCTGAGCCATAACTATATCATAAATGCTACCACCTCTGAAATGGAGTGGATACAAAATCACTATGCTGAAATTATAAACATAGTGAACTGAACTAGTTAGAAAGATTGTAAAATTTCTTATTGTTGTTAGAGATAAATTTTACTTTGTGACTATATTAAGATAATGTGGTCAATAACTACTCATAACTTTGGCTCTGTAATTCTAGTAACTATGCAACAATACCTACAATTGGACTTAGTGTTGTTACATTGATTAACTGAACTACTTAGAGAGATATATTTAAATAAAAAGAGGAACATTACATATAATTTAACTTGACACACATGTCACAAACCACAATTACGACATAGAGTTATTTTACATCATAGTTCAGTATTATAGCAATGTAAAATACGATTACATAATTGACATACTAAACGTAAAACACACCCCAATTTAATGACGGCTAAGATAGAGGTTGGTTAACACATAGTACGTAACCTTGTAGCGTATGTTAAGGCAAAACAATGTTTGCAAAGGAGAATGTCTACCGGATGGTATAACATGCAAACCGGGGGAAGTTGTGATGGTTGAAAACATCCCAAAAGATACGAAATCCAAGTAGACCCATTGCATCAATCTCTCTTTCGACATGTTTCGCGATCATGACTCCTTCAGCAAGGTCATCAACCCTTTGTAAAAACCCGTCCAATATCTCTTTACCGTCTTCAACTGCTTCACAACAAATGAGCAACAAGCCATATGCATAATGACCAAAAACGATATGGTCGCGGATTAACCAAGCAAATCGAGTGCTTCTTGTGAAGGACCAACTTGTGTCAGAATCCGGAGAGATACCATGTATTTGGCAGTCGGGTTTCCATACTCGAGGCACGTGAGTAAAAATTGCCTATATATTGACTCCACATTTGCATATTCACCATTCTCGAAAATTTCATGAAGATTAGCAGTACGCATTACCTCGTTTGAATACACAGACTGCTTATAGGCATGTCCAGCGGCAATGAAAACACCAAGAAAACAAAAATCGTCTTCTCTCACACGACGGATGATGTCAGCTACAAGATGCTCCAGTATGTAAGAAGACATATTCTTAGGTGTAGTTAGCTTTGAGTAATCTTTCTTGGTATATGACACGCTCGAAATTTGTCCTCGTTTGTTTATAGGTGTTGAGTTCATTTATGGTAGATTTAGTTGGAAGAGTATTTATTAAGTCCCAAGATTATTAGTTGGTGAGGTTAATAAATGGTAAATGTAATGATGTAAGTAAAAGGGTCTCTAAGTAAAATGATGGTAATGTCTTTTAAAAATAATAGATTTTCATTCTTGTCATTATTGTGATTATCATTTATTGAAAAAAAAAACATTCTTGTAAAGTTGTCTTAAAAATTACCACATCAAGCAAGATACCAATATGTGTCTAAGCTAGACATTAACAACAAAAAACTTTTTTTTGAAGTAGACATTAAACATTAGTGTTAAGAAATCTTTAAGACATTATCGAAAAAACAACAACAAAATATTGAAATAAACATAAGTTTTCAATGTAACCAAAAGGACCAACAAAAACTAACGACTCTGATCATTTTCAACTTCGGAGGATGAGACTTCGCAGCTACGCCTATCGTGAGTGACGCAATACTCACGGAGCTCTTCGGGGATGTGTCCAACTCTCTCCAATCCGTTCCTAACCCAATCCTTCGGGTGAGCCTCCATCTCCCAAATTCCCCTCTCCAAGTCTTCGAGCTCCTTAACGAGTTGGCCGTGACGCTTAATGGACGCGGCATGATGTCCCTCCAACTACAACACACAATATTACATAAAGCCATCATCAATCAATATATCTCATAAACTCATACATAATCAATCATAAATATTACATATATCCAAAAACGTTTATGCCTCATAATGAATTCCCTACAACTACAGCCCTAATTATCCTCAAAATCCATAATCTATCAAGATAATCATATATAAACAAAATCAATCAACAAAATTCACAAACCCTAAAAAGTTCACTACTTTTTACTCGGACTAACCTTTACAAGCCAATCTTGCATCTTGGCGCGTACACGACCATCGAAGTTAGCAAGAAAATCATGTGGGTAGCTAATTCTTCCGGGAATAAAGTCCCTACCACCCGGTTCAATCTTCTTCACAGTTTCTTGGATAGTCAATGTATCCATTGTTAGGTTTTGCGGAACAAGACTTCCCGGGGACGAGCGACGCTACGGCTCACCAATACGCCTCCTCACGCGACGACTTGACTCGGCCTCTTCAACATAAAGATGATTGGCTGGAAATCATATCGTAATTAGTCTTACACCTTCGAAAGTAGGTTTAATGATTAAAAACATAAACTGGAATTGAAAAGTAACAAGATTTAGTCTTAGGAACATAAACTAATACTTGAACATTAATAAAACAGAGAATCAGGATGGGAGTCGAAACTACTTCCATCGGAGGAATCTTCATCATCTTCATCGGAGACCGGACCAAGAGCGTCGGGTGAACCTAACCTGTACTCACAGCTACTTCCATCATGAGTGAGGCAGTAATACCAAAGAGCAACGCTCATGTCCCCATGCTTGTCGAACTCGTACCGGAGCCAGTCTTTCGGGTGTGCTTCCAATCACCACATGCCTCTCTCCATGTTCTGCATCTAAACAACCAGCTCGGCGTGGCGTTTGCGATAGGCCTCATGTTGATTTTCTAACTGATAAATATACCGATTAAACACGTTGTCTGAGAAATATACATAAAGAACAAACGAACAATACAAAAGAGGGCAGAGATATACAATTAACTACTACCATCGGAGGAAGAAACAAATAAACATTTGCATAACCATGATTGTGAAAAATATTTGTAAACCATAGATATACATAGAAATACATTCAATGTCCCTGGAAGCTAATCAACTATTCGCAAATCACCATTGTCAAAAATAACCCAAACTTTCAAATAACTACTCAACTAACTAGCATGCAAATACGAATTCGAGACACTGACCTTAGCGACCGACTGTTGATTTTTCTCGAAGACACTTGTTGGGCAATGAGCGAAGAAAGTCTCTGGATAAGTTATTTTTCCAGGGACAAAATCTCTACCTGCCGGCTCAAAATCCAGCCCATTCCCGTTAACTGGGACTCTATCCCAGGGGTAGATTGGCTCAACACTGCGAGACGTGACAGAGGAAAGAGGAAATCCCACTTCTTGTTGCGAACGACCAGTCCACCGATAAAAACGATGCACGTCAAACATGGGAGAATTAGACGGCAGGGGAGAACTCAATTCAGAGGGAGGAGAATTCGGTGCAGAGGAAGAATGGTATAAAGTGCATCGATCCATGGTGTTTTCCGGCGAAAAACAGTGACCACCTTCTCTGGTTTTTTTTATATTTTATTATTGTATTTTTTTCTAACAAGCGTCTTGAAGAGACGAGACTTTTCGGTTGTCTCTGTAGTTTTACGATTTTATTATTAATGGTATCTAATTTAAACGGGCCGGGCCATATAGAAAGCCCAAAGAATTCAAGGAGACTATATATTAATTAAACAACAATAAGACATACTTGATTAATTTCGTGGTTCAACTAGGACAACTGTGAGTTTAAGTTCTTGGTTCAACCGGGACAACTTCGATTGCTTTGTAATATTTGTAATTTTATTTGTATGAGTATATGTTCCTGGTTCGATAGGGGCAATTACTTCATTTTGGTATGCAATTTATATGAGTTCATGTTACTGGTACAATTTATATCGGAAGCCCAAATAATTTATTTGATCGTAAACATGTTTTTACACAAAACACTCTTTGTGTAACAAGGAACATTTAGTTCATGATGACCTATATTGATGCAATATGTATTGAAACTATGATTTCCTGAATATTTTCCTAACAAAACTTCTTAAAAACCGATATAATGTGGAAATTAATGTGACCAACTAGATTGATATTTTCGATTACAAGGTTCAACTTCAAAATGTCGACATTTCATTTTGTTCAACTATGAAGAAATCAGGACAATAAGACATATACATACAACTGTGTACACTATCTAGTTGTCAAGGACCCTTGAAAAATATAGAATGTCGTGTTCACACTACTTTGACTGAATTCGAGCCCACCCACATAATTAATTCTTTATTTTGATTTTTCCTTCAATTTAAATATATCTTCTCTCCCCACTAGCCTCATTTCTCTTTCATCTCCGACTTCTTCTTCTTCTTTAATCAAAACGAGAGAATCCGAGAATCCTGTAATTTGGGTTCTCATAAAAAAATTTTTTTATTTTTGGCAATTTCTGGGTTTCGGTGCCGACATTACCAAAGTAAGGTAAACTGTTTTGCGATTTTTGTTGTTGACATTAATGGATCTACATTCTAGGGTTTGCTATTTCTAGATCAATGTCTAAGATTTGTAAAATTTTAAGGGTTTTTAGCTCTAAGTTTGCTGACTTTTTCAGCCTATTAACATAGATTCATATTTCATATCGTAGATAAGCGAGATATGCCATATAGTTACTCGCAACCTTCCTCATCTGAAGCTAGTTTCAACAATGGATGCCGAAATGCGGATGCCAATTATGGTGTTCCCGAGAAGTGTTTCTGTCGTAAGATTGTCAAATTTGAGGTGTGCAAAACTAGTATGAGACAAGGAGACCGCGTGTACAAATGCCCATTAATAAAGGGGAAAATGTCGAAAAATGCACGAACTTTCAAATTTGGGACGAAAAAAGCATGAACTTTCGAAATGTTATTTAAATTGTAAAGTTTAGTTTGACTTTTTGATAAAATGGTCAAGTTTCGTTGACTTAGTCATTTCGGGCATGCCGTTAATTTTTCCGTTAACAGAGCGATCACGGGGTTAACTTTCTGTTAGCAGGATAATCCACATATTTAAATAGTTATATATAAACTGTTTACGAGAGATTTTGGTTATGTTGGCGTGGCTTGGTGGTAACTCCTGAGTTGTAGTACTCACATAACGCAGGTTCGATGCCAAACATAAGCAGGTTTTTTTTTTGTTTTAACGTTCTCCCTAACCCTAGCCGCCTCCTTGGGAAGAAATCAAATGCATCGAGACGGCCTTCGAATCAAAACCAACGATTTCGATTAAGATCGGGAAATCGGATCTCATAATAGTGAAGGGGCAGCAACGAGAGAATAAGGATGAAGATTTGCAACTGATTCGGAGATGGCGTCATTGGACTCTTGGGAGAGGAAAGGGAAGAAGATGGCGACGGGGAGAGAAAAGGGAAGAAGACGGCGACGGGATTGAGGTTACGGATTCGAATTGAGATTCGAAATAGCCTTCGCCGTAACTTGAAAAGTGCAGTTTTGATGTTGATGACATGAAGAAGATGAAGTAAAAAAAAATAAAAAATGGAAAAAAAAATTGAACAATCTCTCGTGCTGAAAGGTGGCTTGAAATCGGGTTCAGTGAAAAAGCAGCACATACAATACCACTAGGCCATTCCAATAATCTCGAAAGAATTGTAAACATGTTCTATATATCTATTTAAAAACGTGGGACGGAAAGTTAACCCCGTGATCGTTCTATAAACGGAAATTTAACAGCATGCTCGAAATGACCAAGTCGACGAAACTTGACCATTTTATCAAAAAGTCAAACCAAACTTTACGATTTAAATGACATTTCGAAAGTTAATGCTTTTTTTGTCCTAAATTTGAAAGTTCGCGCATTTTTTGATATTTTTCCCATTAATAAAGGTATGATTTACTTGCAATTCAGGAACAACTAAGTACAAATGGCTGATTTTTTAACTACTTATATTCTTCATAGGATGGAGACGAATATAAAGATATTGGAGATCATCTAATTCAGTGGTGGGATTATGCGGTTGAAGAAGAGCTGGAAAAGCTAAACCACCGCTTCGACAGACATAAAGATGATGTTTTAGCGTCTCTCGAATATGCGAGGGATGGAAATCCTGCTTTGGAGTCCATCCGGGAAACTATTCGTCTTATGCGAGAGGAATTTGATGACCTTAAAGAGAGGTTAGCCACAAACGAAGTCGAGATTGCGAGGCTTATGGGGTTACTTTCAAGGTGGTAATATGTACTATTACCACAACTAGACTTTGTAATATCCTATTTGAACCGGATGCACTCTCTATTTTTATTTCTACTCTCAATGGAATAGTTAGTCCCAGGTACGACCGGGACAACTAAGACTAATATTGTACTCCCACGTCAATTATCTTTCAGTTGGACCAGCTGCATTATATTACTAGACAGACTAAAATCTGAATCCAAAACCCAAAATAGATAAGTACTTGAACATCAAATAAAGGGTTTCAATCCAAATCCCAAAATACAAATCATAGTCCTAATCCCAAATTAAACAAAATACCTTATAGGTATCATCAACACTAAACCACAAAAAAACCAGAGTTATGAAAGTATTTTGGAGGCAAACAAAATATGAAAAGAATATTAACAATAAGCATCACTCCCATCCTATTTCTTCTGTCTTCTCTTACCCTTCTGCCCCTTCCCCTTCTGGCCCTTACCCTCTGATGTAAACGGCTCCTCCTTAAACTTCCAATCCTTCCTTGGTCGCTTTTTCCCTGTTTCGATTGTCGCCCCACTATGCTTCCTCTTCTGGTTCCTCGTCTTCTTCTTCTTACTGTCCTGCTCTTTCCCAGCTGTGGAATGCACTCAAAAGCCAGAATCTACACATTCACAATAACACAGTCTTAACATCATATTACTTTTAATTCAAAACTGCAATTCAGTATTATTTCAAGGCTTACCTAAAGATGGGTAATGAATCCATAAAAGCTTGTTTGAGCTTTTGATTTTACTGACCCTTTCATGTTCTTCATCACTCTCCGGATCCCTTCCATACACTGCTCAAATGAGTACCGTCCCCACGGGAATGTCTCACAAGCTGCCACATTATTAACAATCTTTAACAGTAATTTCTCTATGTTTGCATCACCTTTTGAATCTGCTTTCAGAACCTTGCATAAAAATAACAAGATTGTCAACTTCTTTCTAGCAACACACTCATAATCCTTGAACTCTTCTAGCTTCTCTTCCACGTCTTTAATTTTGATTTTATCCGTCCTCCCAAACATCTTCATAACAAACTTTAAACTGCCAATATTCTCAAGATTTTTCGGGTACTCATTGCAGTCCAACCCGGTCAACAACGCATGCTCTTTCATAGAATACCTTATAGCACTCCATTCACCACAAACCAACACTCTCTCACCATCTTCGTCTTAGCGGTGCGAACCATAAGCATCCACATGCCTTGAATCATATGATTTTGTTCCTTAGGCATGTGGAACAAATGCTTAAATTGATCATGATTACGGAACCACCTCAATTCTGCATCAAATTTCTCTATCATTGCCACTGTTTGGCCCAATTGACACCTTCTTCCTATTTTGCAGACCTTAGTGTACTCAGTTGGACTGAAGAACATACTCTCTGGTGGCAGTGGTTGGGAGACATCATCATCCTCATATGTATCCTGCATAAACTAATGTATATACCTTTGCATTAGCAGCATTGGTTCCCTTTGCATTACTCACTTCTGCCGTACCATCACCTTCTTTTGAATTACTCACTTCTACCTCACCATCAACATCTTCTGAATTACGGACTTCTTCCTCTTCCTCTTTATCAGCGACTTCTTCCATTTCTTCTACAACTTATGTTCCTTTTACTCCTTCTACGGGATCCTCTGTTGGATCTATGTCGGCAGCATCGGAAGCTTCTATTGGAACTGTTACAGCCGCATCTGAAGAAGCTTCTATCGGAATGCTTACAGCAACATCAGACCCATTTGAAGCTCCGGTCGATGGATGAATTTCCCCCGGTTCTTCTGCTGTTAGATCCTTTGGGTCTGTAACTCGAGTCATTCCTGAGAACAAAACCCCCAAAGATTTTATCATATTCGAATACGAATCAAACTAACCAAAGAAGAAGATGCAGAGGTTCCGGAAGCGGAAATGACGGAGTTCCGACGGATTTCTCGGCGCCTATACAGTGGAGACTTTTTAAAATTAGGGCTAAAGTTTAGATATTTATGGGCCGCAACATTTTCGTTGGGCTCGGAGCCCATACAGTCGAATTTCTAGTTTTTAATTAAAGCCCAATAAGACAATACTAGTTTTTTTCCAAAACGGCCCTTTATGTGCTCACCCAGCTGGTCGCCGTAAGTATACTAAACATCAACATTAGGTTAATATCTGTCTTCTATATCCAACTATATAAAAGTAAAGTTCTTTCAGATCGCTCTCACTCTCCATGTGGCTAAAATGACCATAAAAATGAGCTTCATTCTCAATCCCCTCATAACAGATATAATCCGACGTATTGGTAGTCAGGGCTTTCGATACCTTGGTCCTTTCATTGCTGCTGGGCCTTGGTTGAAAGAGATTGTGTACTCACGTGAAGGTCTCCTCGACGTAGATCTTGATGAATTCATGTTTAACACTAGACTTGGTAGAGAAGAATCTATCTACCGACCATTCTTGTTAAGATGCGCAGCTGAAGGTCATAAGACTGCTAGATACATCGAATCTCTGCTTCGATTGACTCAAAACTCAAGTTGGCCCGTCCGTTGAAGCGCTGGAGATGCTTGGAGAAGTAGCTTATTCTGACCTCTACACTATGTTTGCATTTGCTGTGATGCTCCTTTGTTGTGGTTCCTATGAACAAGGTATGATAGTTACCAGAACTTTTATGGCTAGAGTTGAAACTTTGCAATATGCGATGGACATTGCGGGTGTGGTGGAAAACCAGGTCAGAAATATCGGTCCTGGAGGACAGAAAGTTTTTTCAGGATATATCCATTTCTTAGAGTATCCAATATGCTATTTTGACCACAACACGAATTTAACTGTTTGTCAGCATTGCTTAGCTTTGAGTTACGCAAATACGTTCCATGAAATGTGTTAAGAACATTAGCATTCCCAATGATGTTGTAGTTCTCTGTTTTTTTTAACAAACTCTGTTTTGGTTATTAAGGATTGCTTAACTGAAAATAAGAACACACAGAGAAAACAAATGTATTCATACAAATTGGTCCGATACTAAAAGTAGAGAGATATTCAAATGTATTAAGCTTTGCAAGACAGCCGATTGTGGCCAACATTTCCACAGTTAGAATGATATGTCTATATTTCACATGTTTTAAGCATCCATTTAGCATCACTTTATCATCATTTTGTCATTGTTTCATACCATTTCTCATCACTTGTCATCACTTTACATGTTTAGGATAGATTTGCATGCATGTTGCATATTTGAGTGTTTTCAGGTGATTTGGAGCTGTTGGCGAGCAGATTGGGAGAAGCAGAGCAAAACAACCAGTATCACTCGACCAGCACAGTCGAGCACTCTCAGCAGCCAGCCTCTCAAGATCACTCGACCACATCTTCTCATCACCAAGTGGATTGCGCGGTCGAGCAACACCAGCAGACTCTTCAGATCACCACTCGACCACAACTTCAACAGAACAACTCGACTGACCACTCGATCACCACCTCAATCCACCACTCGAGCATCAGCCAATGCTATCATTCGACTGACCACTCGACCTCGTGGTCGAGCACCCTCTTCTTCAGCCACTCGACCAGATGCTCGATCTCCACTCCCAGCAGCCACTTGATCACAAGCTTCAGAGTCTTCTCAGATCCGCACTCAACCAGACATTGAGCATAAGGAAGAGAAGAGGATGAAGCAGAACTCGACCACATAACTCGACCCAAGTGCTCGATTACATCATGACCAGAGCAAGAAACCGCAAAGGCGCCAGCTTTACTCGACCTCTCTACTCGATTTCACGAAGCCGAGTGTCTCTGTAAACCGCCTTAATACTTTGTCGTTTTGTGATTTAGGGTTTCCTAGGATTTACTATAAATAGGTTGTTTCTCTTAATTTTCTGAACTAAGTTTTATTCTGCAGAACAATTAGTGTATTCTTCATCTTTGTAATCCAGATTTCTCTTAATCTATTGAGTATTTGCTTTTGATTTCTTCTACAAAGTTGTTCATCTTGTTAAGGTCTTGCTAATATGAAGTTTTTGTGCATTTCTGGGTTTGTGTTCTTGGTGATGAATTCTGAGTAGTGATTAGGGTTCTTGAGGATGGGTTAGTGTGGTTTAGAATCCTTAATCTGCTAGGTGGTTGAGTTTGATTGGTAGTTCCCTTCTGGATTAGTTGTTCTTAATGCTGATTGCTTTCTGATCAACTGGAATCTGAGCCCAGACATTTCCGCACCCAAAAGGTGTTCGATGAAATGTCTGAACCACTAATTCCAGAGATTCGTGGCTCTGTACCAAGGTATTGGTTATAGAGAGCGTTTTGACTTTAACTTGTTGATTCGTAATGCCTGTTAGATTAGCTCTCGTCAATGGTGATTGAGTCTGGGACTAGCTTTGCTTTAGGATCACTGTTGCGGTAGCACTTTGAATTAGTTATTGAACTTGTTGTCTAGGGATAGTTTGTTGAGCATGTTAACCACCTGTTAGATTAAGGAGACTTCACCACTCGATTACCCCATCCTCGGGAATTTCTCTTCCAATTGATTTCCTTGTTCACATCGCTATTGATTGCTTGATCTTGTTGCCTATTGCTTTACTTTTGCATTTCTGCTTATTTCTTTTAAAGTACTCGACCACACACAGTGGTTTGGAAACGGACTGTGTGGTAGAGTACATTTGTTGCAGTTTCTGTTTGGTACTCGACCTGATACTCGACCACATCTAGTGCTTGGCATCAAGCTGTGTGATCGAGTATATTGCTTGTTTCTGTTAGAATTTCTGTTTTTGCATGATCACCTAGGACTGTTAGAAACACCAAAACCTGTTATTGCTCGGCTTGACTCTGTGAAATCTGATTGCATCTTGATTGCTAGCATCACACCCATTTGGATTGACACCTTAAATACTACAATGACATGATAGTACTTTAAGGATAATTGATCTTAGTTAAAATCCTACTATCAATTTGGCGCCGTTGCCTTTTGGGTGTTTGTTTGTTACATTTGAGATTTCAGACTTGCTTAGATCAAGTTCTATTTCAATTTTCACTTTAGTCACTCACTTTGTGTTTTTCTTGTTGTCTTCTTGATTCAGGTACAACTCTGTTGTATGCAAACTCGATCAAAAGGCAATCAGAACCTCCTTTTCAACGACAACATCGACCGTTTAGGAAGAGAACTACGGGAAAGGAGAGACACAGTAGACCTTGAACACAACCATCCTTTCAGAATGGCTGATGAACAAGATGTCAACAATCTGCCTGCTAACATTGGTGCTGGAGATGCACCAAGAAACCACCATCAGAGGCAAGGGATTGTGCCTCCTGCTGTCCAAAACATCAACTTCGAGAATAAAAGTGGTCTCATCTCGATGATTCAGGGAAACAAGTTCCATGGTCTGCCTATGGAAGACCCACTCGACCACTTAGACGAATTTGATAGGCTCTGCAGCCTAACAAAAATCAACGGAGTCAGTGAAGATGGATTCAAGCTCCGGTTGTTCCTGTGGAAGTCAAAACTAACACAATCGAGATTTGTCTAGGGTTTTAATTTAGGGATACGATAAGCATGAATTCTCAAAGAACAACAGAAACAATTGTAACCAAAGATGGTGTTCTTGATCTTATTGATGAAAAGAATAGTTTTGATCGTACAAGAGTTTGATCGTAAAGTAAAAAGGTGTTTGTGCTGTAGGAGCTTTGTGTAGTGTAAATTCTAGAGCGATGTTGCTTCCCCTAAAGTGAGAGCCTTGAGTCTCTTTATATAGGGATGGTAGGCCGCCTCTCCAGCGATATTCTCGGAAGATTTCCATTTATCTTGAGATCGGCTTAGAATATCGCGGATTAGGATAATTTCCTTATTCTTCGGAGTTCTTTGGAAGATTTCCTGATTTGAGTCGATCTCCGAAGATTCTCCTTTATCATTTCCGAGTATGTCGGAAATGGTCCTTCTTTTCCGGAAATGCTGTTAAGATACTTTAAAGGTATTTATTCACTAAGTCTTTGCTTCGGGTGATGAAGAAGACTTACTCCTCGGGTGATTGTGAACTTCACTTCGGGGTGACTGATGACTTCGCCTCGGGTAGCTTGGAGGCTGCCTGGTGACGATTGGTGTGTTTGGCTCGGGGCAGGATGACGACGTGATACACAACCTGAGCCGAGGCACCGAGGGAATCGGCTCGGGTACCCCAGGACGACTAGGCTCGGGTACCCCGAGGTGACTGGGTTCGGGTACCTGAGATGATTGGTTCGGGTACCCCCGAGGTGATGGGCTCGGGTATCCCGAGGTGACTGGGCTCGGGTATCCCGAGATGACTTGTTCGGGTACCCCCGAGGCGATGGGCTCGGGTACCCTAACCTGATTAGATGGATAACCCGTGGCGGATGATGTGATGCCCCGAGGTGATCTCTGAAACGCTCCTGAGGTGCTCTAAGTCTGGCTCGGCGCCAAAGGATGGAATCCGACCCCAACAGTTAGCCCCCCAGCTCGTTAGTTTGGAGAAACAAGTGTGACGAGCTTTATGATAGTTGGGCCGAGCCGTTTACTTTGGTCAGTTCGATCCCTTTAAAGTTTTTGGTGATTCGAATTCCTGTCGTTTCATCTTCTCTTGGCGTGTGACGGTTGGGATTCCTTCTCGAGGAGTGGAAAGGTCCTTCGCCGATTCCCGAGATTCGTGCGGATGTGAAGTACCCTATTCAATTTGCGCGTGCCCGACGCGCCTTAGATGCGGACACGATGCGTTTTATTTGGCTCGTATGTACCCGACGCGCCCTAGATCCCTATAAATGTCAGGTCTCCGACTCATTCTCTCATTTCGCAACTGCAAAGGAAAATTTTCGAGGTTCGTTCTCTTCTCTCTGATCTTGAGCTCTTTCATTTTAATACTTTTTCCTTTATACTTCCGCCGTAGCGCCACCGTTTATTAGATCTAGGTTGATTTTTCCGATCTGCCAAGTTTTGTTCTTCTGATCAATTTCTTCAATTGCCCGAGCCGGAAAATGTCTCTCTCTGATTCCAGTGATTCGTCCCGAGGCGATACCCTTATCCCTGTCTACAAAAGAAAGATGGTCTGGAGTTCTTCGAGCGATCCCGAGGCGGATTCCACGGATCGTCAGATTGAGCTGTATCGCGGTAGTGACGCAGAGTCAGCCTCACGGGAAGAAGACCCGAGTCGTTTCACTGCTCGGGAAGACGCGATTGCGGATGTGGCTCGGGATCAGGATTTGCCCGACGATCCCGAGGCGATGTTAAGTAGGAGGGGGGTCCATCCACCGGCAGCTGGTGAGGCTGGAGTCTCGCGTTGGCCGAACGCACCCGAGGCGCCCCCACTCTCTATTAAGGCCGAGGAGGTTCACTACGACTCTGACGAGGCGGCCAGGTTGCTTCAAGCTAAAGTTCAAGCAGCCAAGGGTCTTCGGAAAAGAAGACGAGCCAAGAAAACAAGGAAACCCGATCCCCCGGGTTCCACCTTGTGCACGGAGGATTCCCTTCGGGATCTCAAGGCCCAGTTTGGCTTTAGCGAGGGGGTTGAACTAAGACTTCCTACTCCGAATGAGCGGGCAGATGATCCGCCCGAGGGGTTTTTTACTCTTTATGAGGGGTTCTTTTATCACTGCTACCTCTGGCTTCCGATTCCGAGGCCTATATTAGCGTTTCTATGGTCGTATAAGATTGCCTTGTCTCAAATCACAACCCGAGGCCTGCGCCATCTTATAGGGATTCTGGTCCGAAGTATCGAGACGGTAAACTTTGTTGACCTTAGCCACCTAAGGCATCTGCTAGAAATTCGGCGCATACCGGGTCCTGTTGAGAGGTTTTACATTTCTCCGAGGCCGAATAGGAGGGTTATCGGTGGATTCCCGAGCAAGGATGAGAAGTATACTGACCACTTCTTCTTCGTAGCTTTGAACGAGTATAGTATCCACGAGGATTACTTAGGGAGAGTTGTTGGGACGTGGAGAAAAATTGGTATTATACCCG